ACCCCCCCCCCCCCTAGTTTCTTCTCACTTTTGGAAGAATTACAATATTGATCATTACAAAAAGTGGGGGGGTCACTGTCAGGACCCCCATTCCCCCCTGGCTACGCGCCTGCCTGTCGCTGCGTTAATAAATACATGTCCAATAATAAGCCCATGGGCCATGGCCATGCCCATGGGCTTATACACGGGAGGACGCTAGGATTAAAACTTCGCTTTAAAACCTTCAAAATAAAATATTTTCGGCTCAAAATACTATCAAAACGAAGAGAAAAGTGAGACGAATCCATTTGTATACGGCCGACGATACGAAAGTTATCAAGGATCAAACGTACTGCATTTTTAATTAGTTTAATTTAATAATTTTGAGCGGTTTGTCAACAATACAATTTCGCTTGTCTTTCAAAGACCAGTTTTGCATCCATAAATACACCTTTTTACGCTGATTCGAACGGTGGTATTTTTGTCCTTGTTGGGTGCATAAAACCAGAGATAAGGCGCAGCAAACAGTCGGTCCTGAGAGTCCAAGATTAATTAATTTTCCCACGAACAAGGAAATTCAGAGTACGTTCAAGGAATTTTTACTTAAGGAAACGTTCGGATTCCGAACAAACTAACAAACTCACGCGGGCACCGCAATTATTTGAGCTTGTACTACATTATATGTCCTAATATGTATTTCACTATTCTTATCTGTGATTGCCATTATTGTTTGGATGGCCTGATCCAAACACGCGGGAATGTTGCGAGAGTTAAGAAAAGCGCGCAAAATCACTCGCCATTTTCTTAACTCGAGCAACATTCCCAAGTGTTTGGATCAGGCCATCCAAACACGGAAACCATGAAGTAATTGTTTTATAAAATAAAAACTTTCCGTGTTAAAATTTCACTTTAATTAAAAAATTTCACTTTAAATTTCCGTGTTTGGATGGCCTGATCCAAACACAGGTTTCGACCAATCAGAGCACGCGTTATATACATGTTATTTTATAATTTGATTCACCACATACTGTTTTTAAAACAATTTGTATTTCAGTCCTTGTAATAAACAAAACAGTATAACAAAACAGTATTTACACGCTTAATTTTAGTAATTTTATTGATTAGAAATAGCTTTAAGAATACCTCTATACACACTGTTAAACAAAACTTTGCGGCTTTCTTCGTGTTTGGCGAAACCCCAGCTTTATTTAGTTATTTTTATTAGTACAAAAAATTCCTCGTCTGTAACTGGAACGAAACGGGACGCCATTTTGTTTTTGTCCGGAGGTGAATAACCAATCAAACTAACTGCGTGAAAAGCACTATTCATGCACCTCCCGAGTATATGCTAAATTACTTTAAATTTGTTTTTGTCTTTGATTTAGTTTTGGAAAAGATCACATTATGTTCAGCAAAATTTTACTCGCTTTGGGAGTTGTGTCGGCTATCTCAGCTTTGGGTACGAAAATTTACAAATATTCAGTGACTGAATCACAATGCCTGATAATGTTCCTTGCCAGCAATATGCAGTTATCTGAAAAGATATGATGTGGGAAGCTATATCTTTCAAGTTACATAGGATAATGTAATTGCTTGATAGTGTAGCTATTTTAAACACCTCACAATCCGTTTTTGCACAGATTTTGACAGACATTAAAATTTCACCTCATTATAAATATTTTGGCTTTAAAATTGGCTGATTGAATTCGAAAGGTACTCTATCCAGTTTTAGTTTTCAGGTCAGTGGGATGACCCTAACCCAGTGAACTCCACTGAACTATATAACATATATCTATGTAGTATGGTATATATGTATGTAGGTAACTATGTATATAGTTCACTGGTGAACTCTAGATATAAAATAGTTTAAACTGACAGAAACAAGACATGACACTAGTTGCACCGTAAAGGTTTGGCTTTGGAAAAAATTAATTTCCTGCGCCAAAATTCTTGCAATTATGGAAATCTGCGTAAAATTTTTCAAATTGTAAATAACCGCAAATAGTTTCTGAAGGATCTCGGCACAAAATGCTTTTGTGAACCAAGAAGCAAGCAGATTTCTGATCTTCCTCTTTGACAAAAGCACTTTCTGATTGCAGGATCCCCTGGTCTGCCATACTAATTTTCTGATAAACTTTCCTAATGCTAAGGAAATAACATTTCCTGCGCAAAATAAAACTTTTCAGTCTGGCTGCTGGGGGTACGACAAGACAATTTGCTACTAATGATCTACTCCAGCTAACGATCTAGTCCTTTTAGAGTTCACTGTCCTTACCGGATCTCTAGATATAAAACAGTTTAAACTGACAGAGACAAGACATGACACCAGTTGTACTGCTGGAGTGCTGGGGGTATGACAAGATAATTTGCAACTAATGATCTACCTTTTTTGTTTTAGGGAGTGCTCTGAAATGCAATTTTTGTAGATACAGGACAACACAGCCAAAAGAACAACAAAAATGTACTAGTGCCACATTTACATGTCCATCCGGTCATTCATATTGTGCCGCATCATCTATTACCTTCCAAAATGGCACAGAAGCTGTTAGTAGAAACTGTGCCACCACGATTCTTTGCCCCCATACTGAAGAATGGTGTAAAATTTTAACCCCACTATGGAATCTGAAATCGTGTGCTTTTGCTTGTTGTACTACCGATAATTGCAACAATTATACTCCCAGCAGTGCAACTGGTGTCATGGTGACCAAGTTTACTCTTTCCTTGATGGTGATTGTTGGTTTTATTTTTGCTTGACTTGATGTACTTTACATTCTGACTGTGTAGTTTTACTTAAATTTACTTAATTCAATTGTTGTAATTTGCATGAACGTCATGAGATTATGTGGTAAACTGTGTGTTTAAAACATGTAGCGTTATTAGTTTGGGTTAATTTAGCAGGTGACTATGTAATAAAACTAGTTTTGAACTAAAGTGGACCAGTTTTGTGTATACTGGGTTGTTCTATATCAGTTTTACATTTTCCAACCTATATAGTCCAGTATAAGGGTCCTCTCATACTGACCTAGTGTTTAAACTAACTTTATTTATACTGAATAGTCGTAATCAGCTTAAAACTGTTCTCCCTAGAGAACAGTGTTACTACTACAGGAGAAAGCTAAAACTCAACTAAGTTCATTTATACTGGATAGCTCTTTAAACCGTTCCCTCCATAGACGTCCAGTAAAACCCACCCCTTATTTATCCCGTATTTGCAAGGCTAAGGCTAATACTTACCATTTGTGTGCCACAAAAATACGAAATTACAAAATTGTAGAAAGTTATGGAAAAAGCACACCAATGAAGACAAATAAAAATGATTGCATGAAATTCCGCCATATTCGGTTAAAGATGGTTTGTTTAAAGTTGTTTTCGGCCTATCACGCTCAAAATAGTGCAACTGATATAAATATTGGCCTTTTTGGTAAACAATTATATATGGTTCTGAAAATCTTCATGTGTCCTCAAAAGTTTCCGTCTTTTCCACCCTCGAAAACATTGTTGCAGATGCATCTGAGAATGTTTTTCTCAAATATTTTCCTGTTTGCCAACATCGAAAACAAGAAAAAATTCCTCTGCGACAAAACTGTTTGCGAACAAAAGGTTTCATCATTAAAAAGAGAAATAGCAATATATTTTTTTATGTTCTCCTTTGAAAGAACATTTAAAATCGTATAGAAAACTCTTTTACCGTTTTTTTCGTATCTTGCTTACTTCTACAAATATTTTAATCGAAAGAAATGAAATGTCCGCCATCTTGGATTTTTGTAGATATGCATGTTACGTCACAACAGGGGTCACGCAATATTTTTATCTAGACAACCACTAATCATTTTGCACTCAAAATTATACTCTGTATGTGCTTGGAAATATCAAGATCACTTGAAACCTTTAAAACATCTACCAATCAATATTTGGTCAGCAACGAATACTTTTATACGGTTAATCCCTGTTGTGACGTAACCAAAACTACCGTTAATGAGATAAAAAATGAATCCAAGATGGCTGACATGTCATTACTTCAAGTGAAAATATTTCAGGAACTAAGGGAGATATGAAAAACCGTTAAAAGAAGTTATTAAATAGTTTCAAAAGTTCTTTCAAATGAGAAAATAAAAAAATATATTGCCATTTCCCTTTAAAAATTAGTTGCTGCCGATCGAGCCAGCCACCTATTCTTGACGTTTACAGTTTTTACTCGTGCCAGATCCCCGCGCGACTTCTGTATTTTAGCCAAAGCAATCTCAATTTGTTTGTCGTTCGTTCGTTCGATGATTCGGGTCGCATTTTCTGACGTCACAGTAGATTGACGTTGTGTACAAATTTATACACGCAGGAAGTTTACGATGACAATCCGATCACTTCCAAAAGCTGTGTTCGGTACACCGTAACTTCCAGGTGATCTCGTGTTCGTATTTTAGCCAATCAGCGCTCAGAAAGGGTTGTCCGAATAGAAATCCATTTTGATGTATTCAGTCAATTATATCTTTCGTTATTCTTTATGAAACTAGTTGAAATTTTGTAATTATGTTTGCTTATGAGAACTATAGCTCTGACAAAAATATGGAATCGAAATAAAGTATATTACAGGAGATATTCAGTTGCTTTAATCATAAAATGGATTTCTATTTGACAACTAGTGCCAGTACTTTTCCGCGTATCAAGATCATCTGGTTCATAGGAGCTATGGCATTTAATTTTGACATGACCATATGGCATATCGCATATTTTTCCATTGCACGAGGCTATCACCATAATTATTTTACAATATTACTATTTGATTTTGGAGGAAAAGAGTTATATTTTTGAAGGTATGTTGATAAAAATAGTTATTTGAACGTTTGAATACTTTTATATCTGAAAATGAACGTGATAGTTTGTTTTTAATACAGGCATGTACTAAAAGGCAAAACGTCGAAACGAAACCACCGAAACGAAACGGCCGAAACCATCCGAAACGGCCGAAAATATTAATTACAGGAAAATTTATAATGCAAAAATATTAAAATATGAAATTTACGGCAAAATGGAAATTTTAAGACAATTGGGGAGGGGGGTGCGGGAAACCCAGAGGACTTTGACTACATTTGCACAGAATACTAACCTATTCAGAAAGTCATCTCTATTGTTTTTTTCGCTGGAGGAAAGAGCCTGGGAACGAGATTGGTCTGTCGTTTGTTGTAAAGCTGCTTGTCTGGTGAATTTATTATTACAAAGGTAAGTTCTTTCAAATTCTATCCTATTCCGTGCAATATTCTTATTGTACCAATTATTATTTTAGTCTATTATTCATATATGCGGTAGTAGAAGACTAAAATAATAATTGCTACAATAAGAATAATTGCAAGCAGCAGTAATCTCCAATTTGTTTTTTCAACTCATGCTTGACATGCTTGTGCGTGAGTTAAAATTTGGTGTCGTTCACTAACTTCACTGTCTTCACTGTGTCTGTACGTCGACAACATCAGACTCCTCGGTAGAACGTGAACTTTGGAAGTCGATTATCGCAAAGTAAAAACAGTCGTTTAATACGCATATGTTTAGCTAGTATATGCTTGATTTTTTGTAAATCATAGTCATAGAACTGGATTCGTCAAAGCGCGAAGAAAATCCCGCGTTATAAACTGTCTCTTAGGTTGGATTGCGCAAGGCTAAAAGCTTCATAATTCAAACTGTATATTGACTTTTATGAAATCTGATACTATCTATGCTATGTTACAAATGGAGATTATAAAAGCGTATTAGAGTTATTATCAGCTTCGTCTGTTAGTGCACTGCAGTGTGCCAGGACTAAGGTTTTAAGGTTCCTATGATTTCCTTTGTCTATTACTTTGGCATTGGCAAAGTCAAGGATAAAGCGACTGCTACGCAGGCTAGAGTCCATGCGTGTTTCGCGACATTCGATCCCTTTTTGCTTTGTTTCACATTCCTTACGTGTTCGAACTTTCTCGTCTTCAGGGATCTTCCTGTTTCGCCTATGTAGCTCCAACTGCAGTCTTGACACGGTAATACAGTATACAATGTATATTGACTATTGTATTCGACCATATTGTTATAGTTTTTTAAAAGGCAAATTGACGCGGCAATGGTGGCCAATACGAGCGGCATAAACGTCGTTTTGACTTTTGTAAAGCTCTATTTATATGTCAACAATATCAAATCGTATTATCATAAAGGCTTAGGAAATACTTTGCGTATTTCTTACAAATACATTACAAAGTTGAAGGCTATGAATATTTAATGAAAATTAAGAATCGTCATATATATAGCCATAGGGTTAGACTTGCCCACAAGTCGATCTCGAATAGCGAGCGGTTGAGCGGCGAAGCAGCATACATACGAACCGCGAAAAAAATGGAAAGGACTTTGGGAAAGTCTACCATAGGGTAAATGTGTTGACCAGCCAAACATGAGGAAAATGTGTTGTCAGTGTTGACTTGCATGCAGCCAATAAAAACTCGTTATTTGCCTACATCTTTTGAGTTTTGATTGCGTAATTTATCAGTTTTCCATGCATATACAGTTCAGTGGTCGAGTGGTCAAGTCATGTCGTATTAGCCAATTAGGCCAAGTAAAAAAAACACATACGTTTCTCGTCTAAATTTCTGCCAAAAAGCAGCATTTTTTTTTTCTTAGCCAAAATAATAAGCTTTCATACAGTTTAGTAAGAAAAATACACGCAAAAAACGTGAATTACAAAAGTTCTAATCAGTTATAGTCTACTTTTCTTTGAATCGCCTGTTATTTTTTGCTCTTGTCAATTTCCCGATTACCTTGCACTCATCGCATAAAGGGCCGGGGTACTCATCGTTCTTAGGAACAAGCAGATTGTGCTCACGTCCACAATAATAACATAAAAGGTCGTTAAATACAACATAATAAGCAACTTCAATAGGTGAGTCACAGGTAAGTTTGTTATTAATGAAAACATATTCAAAAATGAAATCTTCCTTGTCTTCAACATCACAGAAAGAAGCACCACACGAGGAAGACAGCACATCTAGGTTTTGCCAGGGATGGATTTACTGGGGGGGGGGTGCAGGGGGGGGCGCACCAATTTTAGTAATTTTATTCATTAGAAATAGTTTTAAGAATACCTCTACACACTGTTAAACAAAACGTTGCGGCTTTCTTCGTGTTTGGCGAAACCGCAGCTTCGTTTAGTACAAAAATGTCCTCGTCTATAACTGAAACGAAACGAGACGCCATTTTGTTTTTGTCCGGAACTGAATATGGTGCAAGGATATCCGGAGCAACCAATCAAATTGCGTGAAAAGCACTATCCACCTCCCAAGTATATGGAAGAGATTATTTCGCTGGCCTCAAAGTGACAAAACGTAACAAAGCAACGGTTTTACTAACACTAACCCTACTCCAAACACCAACTCTGACCCTAACCCTAATCCTTACCCTAACCCTAACCTAACCCTACTCCAAATTTGTTTCTAAACCAATCTTGAAGAAAAACGTTTTGACGAAATGTCATTCTGAGGTCAGCGAAATAGTTGAATAGTTGATACCCGAGTTATATCTGTATATGCTAAATTACTTTATTCAATTTGTTTTTGTCTTTGATTTAGTTTTGGAAAAGATCACAGTATGTCCAGCAAAATATTACTCGTTTTGGGAGTTGTGTTGGCTATCTCAGCTTTGGGTAAGAAAATTTACAAATTTTCGGTGATTGAATCACAATACTTGATAATGTTCCGCTTGCCAGCAATATGCAGTTATCTGAAAAGATGTGGAAAGCTATTCAAATTACTAAAAGAAATCATTTTATGAAATAAAAAATGGGGGTAACCGAACTTTTTTTGTGTAAATATCTGACATTTCTGCGCAACTTTTCCAAGGAAAACCATTTCCTGCGCAAAATAAAACTTTTCAGTCTGGCTGCTGGGGGTATGACAAGACAATTTGCAACTAATGATCTACTGCATGTCTTTTTTGTTTTGTTTTAGGAAGTGCTCTGACATGCCATGTTTGTAGATACTGGACAACACAGCCAAAAGAACAACAAAAATGTACTAATGCCAAAACATGTGGATCTTCATATTGTTACACTGAATATGTTAGGTTCCGAAATGGCACAGAAGGATTTGGAAGAGGCTGTGGCAGAGTGAAATTTTGCCTCGATACTGAAAAAGCGTGTAACTTTACAAGAACATATTTGCCCGGTCTGACATCGTGTGCTTTTGAATGTTGTACTACCGATAATTGCAACAATTATACCCCTAGCAGTGCAACTGGTGTTATGGTGACCAAGTTTACCCTTTCCTTGATGGTGATTGTTGGTTTTATTTTTGCTTGACATGATGTACTTTACGTTCTGACTGTGTACTTTTACTTAAATTTACTTAATTCAATTGATGTAATTTGTCTGAACGTAATGAAATTATATAGTAAGACTGTGTGTTTAAAACAAGTTGTTTAAAATATGTTGCGTTATTAGTTTGGGATAATTTAGTAGGTGACTATGTAATAAATCGATAAAAGATAAAATCAATTCGTTCCTTAAGGGGCATGTGTAATCAAATGCACTAAGTAAACTAGTCTTGAACTAAAGTGGACCAGTTTTGTGTATATCAGTTTTACATTTTCCAACCTGTACTGTAGTCCAGTATAACGGTTCTCTCATATTGGCCTAGTAATTAATCAGCTCTAAGCTGTTCTCCCTAGAGAACAGTGTTACTACAGGAGAAAGCTAAAACTTAACCACGTTCATTTATACTGGATAGCTCTTTAAACCGTTCTCACTATATAGACGTCCAGTAAAACCCATCCCTTATTTATCTCGTCTTTGCAAGGCTAAGAAGCCACATTTCAACGGGTTATGATGCATCGATGATATGCAAATTAATAAGGAAGTAGAATAATCATGTCCATTATTTCTGGCCATGGCATCATTTTTTTTACTCAAGTTTTCGAGAGAAATTTTTTTGCAGTGTCCGAATTTTTAGAAAGATCATTCTCATAGTTTATTGTCTTTTATTACAATTCATTCAGCCAATCACAAAACCTGTTCATACAGGTATGGGGGCAACTCCCGAAACCCATCGGTTCAACATGAAATACACTGACCTTAACTCGTCAATAATACCGCGTATTTTCCTGGTCAATGTTCCAACATAAACCGATGCACAGCCCACAGGGACAACACGTTATTTGGATACGGATGAATGTGAACGGCCCAAGCGAAGTCGACATTTGGGTCTTCTGTAAGATGAACTCCAGTACTGTGAACTGTATCTATAACTGGGTTGATGTCTGTGAACGGCCATGTGTAGAGGGAAACCAGACTACAAGAAAAGAATAAACAGATGTCAACTTGATGGCACTCCGAGACTACATATACCTAGCTCCGCCAGCATTGATAGGGATGCAACTACCTGAAAAATACGAGGAGAACTTCGACGTTTCAAGCGCGAAGCTAGCCCTTTTTCGCGGGCCGGGAAGTTAGTAGCCGATAAATCATTCAGATTTCTCTGCCCAGCAGAACAAGACAAACCTCTGCTAATTTCTCATTCCGTTTTCGTGCAAATTAAACCAAACATATATTTAATCGATTGGTCCTTGGCACATTGCCATTTAAATAGCCTTACAAATTTTCGTATTTATACGTCTGATATTGTTAAAGTGCAAGTATACGCGAAACTCTTTTTATTAAAAGACGTTGCTTCCAGTGCACGTTTAGTGAATACTTTGATTCTTTGTTTGTTTTCACGAAATCACTTGCAACAACCAGCGTCGTTTTAATTCTCGTAGAGATGAATTCTCGAAAGCTTCGGATTGAAAGCGATGCAACTATACCTGAAAAATACAAGGAAATGTTCGACTTTTCGAGCAAAGCAGTGTGACCAGGTTTTTTCAGGGGCAATTATACCACATCCGGCTGTATAAATTACTACATTTGGTCAAAAATTAGTTAAGTGGTGCATGCATGGTCAGAGACAAAGTGACTTGTGACTACGGTAGTAGTGAAATTACCGTAGTAATTACCACAAATTTCAAATTACCACAATCGTTCAAAATTGACGAAAAATTACCACGGTAGTAATGCAATTACCACATCTGGTCACAAGGGTTTTCTCCGAAGGGTTTTCTCTCGAAACGTCGAAATTCTCTTTGTATTTTTCAGGTAATTATATCCCTATCAATCCGAAGCTTTCTTATATTATTGACACTTCCTACACTCAGACCGTTCAACACTATATCAGCATTAATGTAACCTTGCAGTATTATAGAGTCTCTCTGAGTTAGGATTTTGTCCGAATTGTGTTTATAATACAAAAACACAGAAATCTGAAATGGCGCGAGGTTCTATAGCAGTTACATTTGAACTGCACTTATTCCGCATCCATATTTACTTTTTATTTGCTTCGGAAATAGCTTATAAAATCATCACATAAACATATAAATAATCAAATAGGCCTATATAGATTTCCTGGGCTGCCTGCTATATTGCATTGCTTTATTCAAGAAATATCTGAACAAAGTGACGTGGAAACAGAATTGTAGACTATAGAGTCACTTTCGTGCCTTGATTTGTTAAATGTCAAAATAGTGCGAGGGTCGCATGTTAGATAACTTTTATGGTTAATACGTTTTCCCTCGTGAAATAAAGTTTCTATCCTATTCTATTCTATTAAGCGTAATTAAGCCAATCTTTATAACAAGCATGCACTTGGTGGAGAAAGGACGAAATTCACAGGCCACATAGACTTTGACATAAACTGTATATATTAAATAGAGACTCCAATCTTAAAAATAGGTACGCACTGCGTACATGTGGCTAGCCTATTCACCCTGTTTAATACAGCTGGAGTTCACATTGTCATAAACATTCAATGACAAACATTCATTGTGATACAAAATTAATAATTACAATAGAATGGTCAAAATAAAACAGATGGAGTATCTTTCTTACAATGTCAACAAATGGCTACAACAATGACTCGATTTCAAAGCAATGGTTGAGAACAATGGTGCAGCCAACAATATTATTGAGTCACATTTTAATTAATACATGTTTTGTTTTAATATTAGATTTTCTTGAATTGCTCAGCTGGCATCGCAGATTTCATATAACCTTTAAATTCAAAGTTCTTCATTAATATTAATACTAGATAGATTTTTAAACATTTTTATTTATTGTAAGATCTAATGCATCGGAATTTTATTTATAACGAACTCATCCAATCGATCATGTCAACACCACTAAAACTTTTGTGCGACACTTTTACTGCCCTGCTATACTTGCATATTCTGATCTTCCTATATTATCCAATATTATCACCAGTCAGGCAGTCATATTATCAGCCAATTGTCCAGAATATGTGTTTACTTAGTTCAGGTAGTTGTTTGAAGTACTGCAGATGTCATGCATCACCATGATTTTGACTTGTGCTTTTATAAAAAGAAATTGAGATTTTGACTCGTGCTTTTATAAACTCTAGCTATAAAAGTATGAACATGCTACTTAATTGATACTGCTGTTAAATGCTGGAAAGAAAGGTTGAAACTTGTCGATATGATCTCGGAATATTGGCTGTGCGTTTGCTTTTTCATATACCCTCACAACTGCAATGTTCAGTGTTGTATGGTGATTACACTGATCTTCAGGGACATAGCGAAGCATCAGAAGTTGGGAGGGGGGGGGGGGTGGCAGAGGATTTTACCTGAAATTTGAATGTTAAAAATTTACCCGATGTATAATAATTATAATAGAGCTCTTTCTGATTGATTTCCACTGTCATACTAAGTTTCCAAAGAAAAGGGGGGTCTGCCCCAATGTTTACATTTTTTAAGCTCCAGAACTTCATTTCTGGCGTTTTCTAAAGCAAATTCGCAAACAATTAACATTTCCACTAACAATAAACAAAATACATTTCCACTCAATTATTTCCATGTACAAGATCCTTCAGCTGTACGTAATTACATAAACAGACTGAGCTTCCATTGCACTGTGTGTGAATTTGTGGTGGGAGACAATCCTTGAATAATAAATCTCAATAATAGTACCCATATTTGCAGTAGCAATGTCAGTGACTACAATAGTAATACAAAATAGTCCGGCCTGTTTTCGGTGTTTAATAATTGTAGTTTTATACCTGCAAGTTGAAGTTGATAGGACAGTTACAGTATAATACCCGCACAATGCAGGTATATTAAAATTCAAGATCTGTGCAAGCACGTTTGATAATTTATAAACGGGATTAGGGACCGGTCATTATTTATGGAAGGGGGGGGGGAGGGGAATTTTTTCTTTTCTAAATTTTTAAAATTGAAAGCCCCCCTAAAAGAGCAGAATTTTAAAGGGGAAGTCAAGTCCGTAATGTAAACAAACGGTTTGTTTACATTTTGAACTGCTGTATTTTTTAAAATATGATGTACTGTCTGAATATCTAACACCATTTTGGTTCGTTATGCTTCTACATGAATATGAAATAGAGTTTGTGTTCAGAAAAATTCGAAACATTCAAAATTTGGGCAATGTTTACCTCAGAGGGCCCTCTATTGTTATGCGCAGAACCGATGCGCAGAACGGACTTGACTTCCCCTTTAATGACCCCCCCCTGCATATTAAAATATTTTTTTTGACCCCCCCCATTTTTACCCAGGCGTTATAGTGTTAATTATTAAATAAGAATATGGAACTGGCAAGATATTAACGTCGAACAAAAATATATATTATAATATTAGCAGAAAATTATAATTAAAAGAGGAGTAATTTTATATAGAACACTAAAATCGGGTTTCCATTTGGTCTGGGCGATTGTAACCATGGTTAAGGCTGCAACTAGACTTGATGGTATGAAGTATTGCCATAGCAGCTGCGCGGCAACAATGAGAGCAACAATCAGTAATATTAGCAGCAAAAGGAGATAGCAATGACAATTCTGCCAAGGCATACCTACGAAATACAATGTATAGTGGTCTATACATCCTACTTTATATGAGATTAAAAATTATATAAAATAAAATGATATATACTACTAGAATGAACATGGGTGGGTGGGTGGGGAAAAGGTATCGAAGCGCTAAACTTGCTGCAGCTAGGCAAAGCATACAATGGCAGAATGAATACCCAGACCGAAGCGCTGATCACAAGGCATCAAACAACCCCCTTTGATTGATGACGTCACAGACTCCCCTCAGCGGATGTGGCCTGCATAACACATCCGCTGTTAACCTTGCTTAATTTAAATGTATTTAACCACATCAAGAGCTGATGTAATATAAATTATACATTGTCAATTTAACTAGTCTGCAACCCGTAAAGACTGATTTGCATACAGCACACACAAGACAAGATAAATCCAGACTATTTCACATCAGTGACCATGATTTAGTTGCAACATTTACAACAAAATGGATACCAGGTTATTAATTTAAGCAAATTCCTTCAAATTTAATTGCAACCCCCCCCCCATCATTTTCTTGAAAAAATTTAATAGCCCCCCCTTCTAGTCATTTATTTCTACATATGCCCCCCCCCCTTATTTTTTCC